AAAACAAAAATTAAAATAAAAGAAGAACAAGGACATGCTACTTTTGGAACCAACCCAAGCAAGAATAGCAAAAATTAGAAATAAAATTAATATCTCCAATATACTTCCCACCAACCACATATACAGAAATCACTTTCAGGGCATATACTTTATGCAATTTAATATCTCTCTTTCTTTTGCCTCGGAGAGTTGGTCATAGTTAATTAATTTGCAAGCAATTTCATTGTTATAATTTATGAAGGTTGATAGGGACCGAAGATGTGGTCCATAATAAAACCCTAGTAATGGAGCTAATTGTTGGTGGGTACATGGTAGGTTATCATGAGTAGCCTCAGGCATGTGAGAACTCAGAAAATCAAATCTGACCCAATAGAAGCGCACATACTGTGGAGTGCAAGTGGATCATTGCAATACTTAACTATATTAATTTTAATTTAGGTATGCGATGCTATCAATTAATATCATGTGATTTTTAGTTTAACGATGCATGGAAGTTTCAACTTCTAACGCTTTATCAATTATTCAAATATCTCATCATTAACACACTGTTACTGGTTTGAATTTTTTTTAGACTATTCTCTCACCTTATAGATTAATCTTGTGATGTGTCATCATGTATCACATAATTAATGGGCCGCACATCAAAATCTATTTAACCCAAAACCATGTATTTAAGAGACTTAAATCCTTATCGATCATTTAGATTTACGTTGGTTATAATTTGAACTACAGACTAATTAGGTTTGGTACAATGATTTATCTTAGGATAAAATTACACAGCATTCCTTTCGATTTTACACTTTCTTTAATCTAGCCTCTTCAACATTTTTTTTAATTTAACCTCCCTTTACATTAGTTCAAAATGAAATTGTTAATTTTTTGTCAAAGTTAATCTCAATTATTTCTTTTAAGTGACTTAACTATTATTTACTTTGGATTAAAGTGAAAGTATTAGATTTTAATTAATTTTAACTTCAGTAATGTAAATCGAACTTTATTTTATTTTATTATTTTTGCTAAAGACTATCTTGATGGAGACCTATTTATCTTGTATATGAATGATAATTTTATTATTAATTGTGAAATACAAGTTTTTTTTTTTCTGTGTAAAAAATGATTGATTCTATAGCTTTGGAAGAATTAAATGTGAGACTTGGTAGTGTAAAATTGTTTATTCCTCATTGTATCTGTCCATCCTATTTAAGAGGTCGTTTAATAACCGACTTATATATGTTAAAAACTTAGACCAAGTTTAAAAAATCAAATATAGATAAATTGATATATACTTGAAAAGCATGAAGGACAATTACTTATACCTGCTATCTAAAATATACATTGCATCCTCCACCAAGTATTAACATCATTATTCGTCTTCGTTAACAAACTATCCCAAATAACCTCCCAATAAATTTGATTTGCATAATTTGTTCACATCACTATATGTGTTATGCGTCAAAGGATTACTATCAATTTAAATTTATCTAATTTTTTTATAAAAAAACAAATAAATATATCGATAGATAGATAGATTAAAATGATTAATATGATCAAGAGATGAAGAAGAATTATTATTATATAAATAGTATATTTATAAAAAGTTGTGAGAAAATTACAGTTTCTGAGGGGTTGTATTAATTTCTAAAGAAAGGTTGTCTTCATTTGTGGTCACGACATAAACTTTTGAGCATGCTTCTCCTCGTGCTAAGAGACACCGATATGCATGTTTAACACAGAGGGTGAAAACTTTGCAATAAAGGACAAAGGCCACTACAGTCTAATATGGGACATAGAGATACTCCTCAGTTCCGACCGCGTGTAACTACTAAACATGTTTTGACAGCATATATGGTAATAAAAAATATGTTAGCATGCCCTTAATTAATAATATCAAGCTCAATAGCTAAACCTAAAAATAAAATAGAATAAAAAAGCCGCAATTTTTTGCTCAGCAAGCTTACGAAGCTACTTCAAAAACCTGTTATGTTATAACTTCTAGTTTTTGTGAAGGAGGTCCGTATGCAGAGGGATATACTGTAGTACTATATTTAGGCAAAACGATTTGAGTGCTCCAAGATCAAGCAATCTATGTTCACCAAGTAAACAAAGTTGAAGAAAAAAGATCAAGCAATCTACGTGTAAATCTATCTTCTACCTCTTTATAAAAAGAAATAAGCAAATCATGAATTTTTAAAACGAAAGAAATTTTAAAAATTATTTAAATAAAAATATTTTAACGAGTTAATTTATATATACATATATATAATATGACTTTTCTTGATTTATTTATTTTTAATTTAAAAAAATATATCTCTTTAGTTTAGTATTATTATCCTTTGATTTTATTTATATCTAAAGAAAGAAGAAAAATATTTCTTTTTATCTTTCAATGTAAAAATTTAAGATAATATTATTTATTATTCTTTCACTATTACCCTTTTATCCATACATAAATTATTTATACTATTAATTCTTCACTAGTTCAAAAGTTACAAAAATAAAAAAAAACAGTTAATAAAAGATAAATTCAGACATTTCAACAATTAATTTTAGCAAAATGGTTAAATTCTTTGTTCTTTATAATTTCTTATCTCTCTACATAGAAAAATAAAAATAAATGTAGTATGAAATAATATTTTTAAAAAATAACATCTTTATTCTTTTTAAAATTTATAAAATTCCTTTAATTTAAAAACAATCAAATAGCTTATATTTAATATTTTATTTTAAAAAATATTTTAATGTAAAATATGAGAAACTCATTAGTTATGTAGTAAATGCGAGTTCATATTTTTTAACGAAAGTAATTTAAAGAATTATCGTTTTTATTTTTGTTTTTTAGAAACTATTCCTTTTTTTCATTGTGCCATGTTCAGATGTTCTTTCGTATTCAACATTTAATTTATTTTAATTAATCATATTTAATATTTAATTTTAAATGTTTATAATTTTTAAAGTTTTTAAAATTTTATCTCAACTCTTTAATTTAATTTTGTTTAACATAATATGATGTTATATTTATCTTTTTAAAAATTAGAAAATTTATCAAATTTTAATATATATAATGTATGTTTACCTTTTTTAATTTAATAATTTCCATATAATACATGAAAAATCTTCCACTTAAACAAAATTGTCGTTACTATCGAGTTATGAATCTTGAGCTAATCTGTAGGAGTGTGCATGATTTGATTTTGTATAGCTACATCTGATTTGAAATCAAATATATGGATCGGGTTTTAAATTTAAATCACTTCTCTTTTTCTTTTATGGCTAAATTAATTTTAAATTGATTACAAAATATTTTAAAGCAGTTTATAAACAAAAATGAAATTGATATCCAAAATTAATTTTTAATTTAAAATTCTTTTTAAATAAAAAATTTACAAACAAGTTTCAAAATGATTTAAAATTAGTTTTAAAAAATGGATTTAAGTTTTATTTTAATAAAAAATAGTTAAAATAGATTTCTAACTAAAACTAATTTTTAAAATTGAATAACTATTTTTGTTTCTTCTAAACTACAAGTATTCTTAAATAGGAGGCAATCTTATTAAAATTGAATAAGACTATTATAAATAATCATAATTTTTTTTAATATTTAATACAATTTTATTAATTAATTAAAATGTTTAATTGATATATATATTAATCATGTTTATAGATACATATTTTATTAATTAATATTAAACATAAAATATATTTAACCATCTCCCCTTAATTAATAATACAGGATACATTATTTACTGCTAAATTTAAATTTAGATTTTTTGTTTTTTGAGAATTTAGTTATCGTTTAGTCAACTTTAGAGTTTTGAAAGTAAAGCTAATCAATTTTTTTTTCTTAACATATAAATAGATTTTAACTTAAATAGATCTCCTCTCTCTTTCTCTTCCCTTTTCTTTTGTGTCATCCTATTCTCTAGCAAGGCTCCAAAATATTCCTTGTTTTTTCAGTCCACTTTCCATCCTCTAATTAGGTTGGGCGGGGGGGGGGGGGGGTGGGTTTGAAATTTGAGTACTTTAAGGATTTGCATTTATGTAGTGATGGGTTGGGCTGCATTGGATTGAATTTTTGATTTCTTACCCAAATGGATAAGTTAGTTCGATTTCGTTAAGCTCCCACAACATACATCTACATACTATGATCCGGGAACAAGACAAGCCCATCAACATTAGTTAAAGTTGGCCCTACGTAATGACAAAGAAAAGTTAATTATTACAATGGAATAATTACTAATCGAAGTATTTATTTAGTTTTACATAATTGACCTTCGTAAATATTAAGAATTTTAACTTCATAACAGTTAGTAATATGGTAATAAAATGTGACTTTAAAAATGAAGTCATAATTGAAATATTTGTGTTTAAATTCTTAAAAAATAATATATTGTCTAATTTTAATAACTTTTTTTAATTTGTGTGATTTAATTAGAAGAGTTTTGTAAATAGAACTGGAGGGAGCAAGTGGGTATTAAGGGAATCCACTTGCCAGAAATGTATAAAAGAAATAAAACATTAAAATGAACTACAATTAATGGTGCTAATCCACCTGAACTTTAAGTTTTAGAAGTACAAACGCTCTTAATTTGGATTTGGATTTAGATTTCGTAGAACTCCAATGGTGTAGGAGTATCATAACAGGGTCGATGATGGACAAACATATTCTCAAAAACTTTACCTAATTATACTCAAAAACTTATTCTCTGATTTAGGTCAATGTAATGTTTGTGTACACAAAACATGCGTATACATAAAGTACGACTTTAACTTGCCAAATAACAATATATATATTATTTTTTATTTTTCCAAAATCATAATATCTGCATGTCATCTAAAATTAAAGGGCGTAAATAACAAAAAAAAATACAACATTGAAAACAAATATAGGACGGCTAGAAATTAAAACCGTACACTTTGTCACAATTTTTGTCTTAAATGAACATCTGCAAGAAAGTGCGAGACCTAAACGAAAATACAAACAAAAAGCAAAATAGTTGATTCTAAGCTTGATTCTTGACTTGGTTAATTTCGTCAAGAATCAGAATTAGAGCCACTATGAATGCATAATCGATGTTGGGAAACACAGTAACCATGAAATTATCTTTCCCAAACGCAATGCTTTGAACAGTGTTCTTCTTGTGCATCTGCAGTCACACAATTTTGCACTTGCAATATTAGAATTTGAAGGAATAAAAGGTAGCGTGTTTAGCAATAACCAGTTTTATTGTCAACTACATTTACTCCTAAAATCTCCAACATTTTTTTTATACAAATTTATCTAAAATAGGTATTGGTCAACAGAGAAATAAAGGCTCACCTGGGCAACAATGCTAAGAGATTCACCAGCATAAACAACACAAGATCGCTCGAACCAACTTCCTTTCACCTTGAAGTCACAAACTTCTTCGTTAGTATTATTAGCTAAGAACACATCTAATTTTGTCTTTAGCTGGAACATGGATGATCGCTTTACACTAAAGACCAAATCTTTCAGCTCCATGCTTTCACCTTGAAAAACTTGCCACCTATCATGTGCTGACATTACCTACACAAACAATTTTAAATCGCTTTATAAGATAAATTCAAGATGATGATTTATCTAACTACTCAAAATTAAAGAAAAGCTCAAAATAAGAAATAGCGCGAACACAATTTTCTAAGCAAAAATCTAAAATCTGAGAGGTTATTGTAAATTAAATATAATAAAAAAAGATATCAAAGAAGTAATCAACCCGTTTAAGAATTAATCAAAGTATAAAACAGGTTCAAATAATTAATAAGATAAATTAAGATATCAAAATAAATGGGTAGGTTGATATATGGTCAAACCTTTCGACGAAGCGTGAGGACGGGATTTCCGGCAGAATCAAGTAAGACACGGTGATCATGGAAGGTCATGAGAGAGGCCTTAAGGTTGAAAACGATTTTGCCATTGACGTCGGTGACGGTGAGCTTATCAGCAAGTGTCATGACCTTTCTAACAATTGCTAGTTCTACGTTATAGGGAACACAATACTGAGCGTTGATGATACCGGAAGGGTTCGCGGAGTTCTGCATAGCTGAAATTTGAAGTTTACAAAGAAATTGTTGGATATGGATATTGACCTTTCAATTTCTAGCAAATTTTTTTGTACTGTGGTTTGAGGGGTATGTATTCTTCTCTAATCGAAACAATCAATCTTGGAATTTTGATATATATATATATGTGTGTGTGTGTGTGGCATGGGATGTGAAATAGTCAATGACCAAGTTTGAAGGGAGTTTTGAAGGAGGATGGTAATATTGAAGACTAGTTGTCGTTGAATTAAATTGTTGAAATACTTATTTGAATTTATATATTTGGACGCTTTCAAACTGCGGTGTATGTTGACAAACTAATATTTATTAAGCTGGACTAAGTCTATTAAAACCGACTATCCGAAGGTGGATTAAATTCCTTTATTATTATTATTAAATAGGTTCATGAAGACATTTAAACTTAGCTGCAAATAATAAAAGTACAAAGAGATTTGTAAACAAATTTGTACTTTTGACTGCTGTTAAGACTAAGTTTAGGGTTATGCATAAAAAAATTATAAATAAAAAAATTAAGACTTAATTCAATCATTATAATGTAAATTACAATCATATTCTACTTAATTCATTAATTCCAAACTTCTTTATCCTGCTCGTTATCGTTAATGGGACATTAGTAATTTTAAAATTTTAACAATACATGGTAAACACTTGATTTTTAATTTTTAAATTTAACAATTTAAAATAATTTAATTTAGTACAAAGCCCTTAATTACATGTTTCAAGTTAATAGGATATAACATGATCATTAACTGGACATGTTGTCTCCATATATTGATATGATAAATCCAAGTGGGTAGAAAGAATGATTCACTGCAACAAAAAATAATTTTTATTTGGCCTCCTAAACAATTTACCAGTAAATCATTTTATAAATTTTAATTAACATGATTATTAAAAAAATATTTTTATTTAATTAGGACAAATTACCAAATATTGAAAAGTTATAAAATGTCAAGAATCAGGGTAAGTAGAACCTTTTTATCCAAAACTTCCTTTTTAAAAAATCATTTTTCCCCAAAAAAATTAAACTATCACTTCCTCTCCCAACTTGTTTTTCAAACCAAAATCTCTCTCTCTCTCTCTCATTGCATGGATAGATGCAAGCATTTTTCTTGATATTTTGGAAAATTTAATGAGTTTTTTATTATTTCATTTTTCTTTTAATTTTTCATTGATTTTTTTTTAGTTTTCACATAATTGTTTTAATATGCTTGATGTGACATATTTTAGGTTTATATTTATATTTATATTTTGATTTATAAATACTTTTAATATACTGTGTTTTTAGAGTTTTTACTATTTTTTACTTATTAGAATAAATTAGACATGTTACAAGTAAATGTTTTAATTTTATATTTTTCAGTAATTCTCACCACTGACTACTTTTTCGGCCATAAACTTTTCTACAGATATCGTTTTTGGCTAATTCTAGTTACATTATATTCTACACATCTAGAACTTCAAAATGCATATATGGATCGCTAGATTTAGAATTGTTTTCAATTTTTTATAATTTTTGAAGCTGAGGCAGATTTGCTAATTTTTTTTGCAGTATTGCATTTGGACCCTTATTATTTAATAATTGTATTTGGACTTTTATATATTATAGAGGCCTACATTTTGACCACTTAATTTACCCTAATTAGAATTTATAAATAGACTAATAAAGTTCTGAATTAGGGTATGATATTATTAGACACCTTGAGATTTTGAGACTTGGCTAAAATAAGAATATTTATTTTTACTTTCTCTCAAACTCTCTCGTTCTTTTTTCATTCTTGTATGGGTTAAGCATTTCAATAGAAAGGTAAACCTCTCGTTCAATTTACGGAATCTAAAAGCAATAATTTTGACTTGAGTTCTGCGCTAAAATTGCTTCAAGTTTATTCTCTTTTCTCTCTAATCTCAGAATTTTGTATTGCAATTATGATTAACTTTTCTGTTGTTAGAATTTAAATTATGACTTGATTGATGCTTGATTTGATAATTAATGCAGATTAGATTAAATGATTATTTGATGTAATTCGTAATTTATTTTAATTAAGTTATTCAATTGAATTAATAATTGAATTAGACGATTGTTCAAATTCAGATTTAAATTTTTAGATACTGTGATAGTCGAAGTTACACGCAATTAGTATTCTGTGGATTGATGTTTTTTAATATATTTTTACTCACTTTAATTCTGTCTGTAATTTAATTTGATTAATTTGTAATTTCTAAAATTCAAAAAAAATTTATTTGCATTTTTTAAAAGAAAATCTAAAATTAAATTTGACTGAGAATATATCCCTATAAATTGACCTAAGTTTGACTATATACTACAAAATCTTTAAAAAAAACTTAGTTATTTTAATCTATCAATGCTTAACCCAGTTTTATAGTACTTTTTTTGTAAATAATAATTAATTTTCCTTTCTTCTCATCAATTAGGTATAACAATCTTTTTTTCTTTAATCTTTATTGCCATTAATTTTCCTTGATATATTGTAAATATATTATTTTTTCTAATATTCTTCATTGTCGGCTTGCATAGGTGTGCTAGTGTTGTAAGTCATAAATGATTTGGCAATAGGACAAGTTAAAGAGGGTAATATTAATAATATATTTTGAAAGCTAAAAAAAAATATTTTATTACTAGTTAGTATAAATTTTATGTACCCGAAAGGATCATTATTAATATTGAAAAAATTGAAGTAACTAGCTCATGTTATGACTATGTAATAGCTTTAAAGGAGAAACATTAAATAATATAGCTTATAGTTGAATATTTTATTACTTTCCTTGTCAGTGTTATTTGTTTTTTTTAGATTTTATGATTTTTTTTAACTTAAATCACTAGACAGAACTTGTATTGTAACTAAATACATTCTAGTTTAATTATTAGTTCATTGAATAAATTCTAGTTTGCTAGTTGGTGATAATTCTTGGTCTATAGCCAATGATGATTTTTGATTAATACCATTAGAAAGATATTTTGAAAGGGACCAATTATAATTAAGTAGATAAAATTAAAAAATAATATAAAAGATACATAAAAATTGTAATTAAAAGATGCACTTTATTGATATGGAAGAAAAAAAAAAGTTTGACATAATTAGTAAATTAAGGCACAATGCTAATGTTTATCCACTTCAGTTGGTGCAATAAATGAGCTCGAAATGAAAAGCATATAATGGTGTGCTTTGTGATCCAAATTGAGTTATAAATAAGATGATAACTTTGCTTAATGGTCATCCTTACCTTATGAAGCACAATCAAGAGGTAGTCAAGCATTTCATGCATCATTTTTTTTATTAATTATATAACTTATAGGTATATGGAGTGTGATCATAAAATTATAATTTCTCATATGTATGCACTTCAGTAATATTTGACATTTGTTTGAATTTTAAAGATAATTTTGGTAAGGTATATGAATTTTTTGTGAGAAGTTATTTAATTTAACTATCAACTAGTTATATAATGTTTTGAACAAATCAAAGTTATAAAGTTTACGTATCATTTGGAATATTTCGAATCTTGTTTTGTCATTTTTTTCTCCCTTTTTTTATATTTTGCCTTAAAGTACTATATCATTAAGAGACTAATAAAATAAAAGGCTATTGAGTTTGAAGTTATAGCATATTATATTATTTTAAGATTCATGAATACTAACTCTATGGTTTGAACTTTATAAAGACATTTTTTCCTCTTTTTACTTTGTTTTCGTTTTCTTGAGTTTTGTATTTATTGGAAATGATGATGGTCTTTAACTTTTGTAGAACAAAGTCTTCAAATATTCAATTATTACAAATGACAATTTTATATTAGATAACAAATTAAAGTGGCTTTTTTTTTTAGTTTGATACTAAAATATTTTAAATTTATTTTATTACCAAGGCAATCTAAATACCACATATTTAGATATTTTATTATGTAAGTAAATGTAAAAAATACACAAATATGCATTTAGCAACTCATTTAAGATTTATACAAATATTATATATAGTCAAACAGTTTAGGATTATTATTTAATATCTAGTTATTATATTTATTGAGGACGTGTTTTGGTATTTTAAATTAATACAAAAAAAAATTTACTTAAAACATCCTGTGAGGTTATTATTTGTTCTGAAAATTTTGACAAAATATTTTATTAAGTTACCAATATTTTTTTTTCATATTATAACACTTTTGAATTAATATACAAAATGACTACATGTTAAATTTTCTACAGGTAAATCATGTCGTGTATTCTTCCTATATATCTAACTATAATTTCTATCTTCATTAATCAAATAAATGGTTATATTCATATTGTGTTGTAAAATATTACCTACTTTTCTATTAATGTGCCTAAACCTTCGTTTCTACATATGGTGGTTAGACTAATGATTTTTTGATATCAAATCATTTTGACTAAAATGATGACCACAGGAAGATTAGCTTAAGTTTTAGAAGTTGATATCTCAATATTTTCTTTAACAAGTGATGTGTCATTACATGATCCAGTTGTTAGCTTTTGATGTGTTGGACAATATTTTTTAAGAACTCTAATCTTGTTTTGATTCCACCATTCTTCTGCTTGATTTCTTGTAAATCTTCGTTTACTGCATCCAAATAATAAAATAAGAAAGAAATATTAAAGAAAAATAAAAATATTAAAGAAAAAAGGACAAAAAAATGTTGAGATAAAAATAATAAAAAATCACTAAGTAAAACCTTTTTTTTTAAATTTTGTTAAAATTAATTACATGAATTAAATGAAGTCAGTTTTAATATATAATGTAATAATTTCTTATAAAATTAAAATAGGATAAAAATCCAAAAAATTGTAACATAAATAATTTCTTACTTCCATAAGATGATCAAATAAGAACATGTGAAAATCATAAACAAGGGTACATACCACATGTACTAATGTTGTCTAAGTCTTTTAAATGTATATTGCATAAAAAACATCAAAGAATTTATCAATATATCTGCATGCATTATTACTAATGGAAATCATATGGTTAAAGATATACATTCAAGTTCAATATCACATAAGATGATTTTAAATAATGTAATTATTATTTAGTTAATTTTAAATACTCATTCATGTTTAAGTGTATGAAAAAAATGTACGTAATTAGATTCAATTTTGTGAAGCTAAGAGAATTATTTTGAATGTAGATACCAAATCAAAATGAGATAAAAATTAAAATATATAACTCACCTGAATTTAACTTGTTTAAAAATTTTGATGCCATCTGGTTGCAGCATAAGCGTCACATAAACACCATGCTCAAATTTTTCAATAACTTGTATTTCTCCTTGTTTTCTCAGCATTGAGTCTAATGATCTTGAACCATTTTCTAAGTTTTGTGGAGGTATTGTTTCTCCAACACTAGATACAGATGATCCATTATATTGTTGAAGGGCTATTGTAGCATCAACATTTTCTTCTAATTTATGCTCTTGTAGTTTAGCAATGTCATTAATTACAACATGCTCATTAGTTTCATTTTGTTTCTCAGACTTTAACATTGAACCATTACTTTCTTCTAGGAAATTTTCTCTATCTTTACATGAATCATCTTCTACAGCATTGACACTTTCTTCTGGTCTGTGTTCCTGCACTTTAAAAGCACTAGCATCTAATGAAGGTATATCAAGTGTATTTTGTTGCTCAAATTGCAACTTTGATCCATTATTTTCTTCAAGGAAATCTTCTCCATCTTGACTTGGATCAACTTTTGTGGCATCAACATTTTGTTTTGATTTGTGTTCTTGTAGTTCAAAAGTGTTGGTATCCAAGGCAAATATATCAAGTGTATTTTGTTGCTTAGATTCCAACTTTGTACTTTCTTCTAGGACATTTCCTCCATCTTCACATGGATGAACCCTTGCAACATCAATATTTTGTTCTAGTTTTTGTCTTTGTAGTTTAGAAAAGTCAATATTTGAAGTAGGTATATCAACCACATTTTGTTTTTGGGACTCCAACTTTGAAGGCATGGAAGGTGCTTCAATTTCTGAAATATCTTTAAGAAAATCTTCAACTCGAGCAATCATAGTTCTCAAATCTTTACTTTCTGGTGTTTCTTGTGATAGATTCATAGTCATTTCTTTTAACTGGACAAAACCAATGACAATATTTTTTTAGCAATTTAGGTTAAAAACAAAAAATCTTAATTTATATCCATTTTTGTTTTGTTATTACATCTTTTTTTTCTCCTATTTTAGGTAACAATATTACCTCTAAAATATTTAGTTGATTGAGAAATGATATGAACTATTAGGTGCAACTTGAAAGCTTAGAATTGCCTTATTCAAAAGTATTAAGAAAAATATGAAAATTTCATCAAACCATTATACAAATAGCAAAGACAAAACTCTTATTTTGTTAGTTTACACATCAATATAATCTACTAAAAGCTTAAACTTAACTTCAAAGTGTTACAAGTAACACAACTACGATTTCTATTATAACCATTTAAATCTAATCTAGTAAAAACATTAGAATGCTATATGTTGAAATTGTCCTAATAACTAATTTTGATTTGTTTTTTAATTTCATAAAAATACAAAATGTAGATATCTACCTGATATATACTAGATCCAACAAATTCCTTTGTTATTCTATGATTAGAAGATTCCACTGCAGCCAAGGCAATAGCTTCTGTAGCCTTTTTTTGAAGCTTTTGAATATCCACATCTTTTATGTCACTCTTATTCTTCAAACTTTGAATCTATATAGAAATATAAATTACGATCAACTTATTAGTAAGGGAAAAACAATTTTTTGCAAATACAAAAGATATGTTATTATGCTAGAATGCTGATGAATTTACTTGTTTTTGCAACTTTGAAACTTCTTGGTTCAAAAGCTCATTTTTCCTTCTCAAATTATCGATAAGACTTCCAGAAAATCTAGGGTTGGCAGGACGTGGAGGACATTGTCTACTTGTGTATGCGGGCCTATAGTTGGCAAGAGATCGTGGAGGTGGTGAAGTTTCTGATGGAGTAAGAGTTATATTAGGCTTCAAAACACTTTGAGTATAACTTAATGAACTTGGATTTAACTGTGAAAGAGATGAAACTTTAGGAGCTTGTACGAAGGAAGTAGAATCATCTTTGCTTGTAGGCTTACTACTCTTGATCTCAAGGTATTTAATTGGTTCAATGGAGGGAGAAAAAAGATTTCTTGTTGACCTTGATGTTCCTTGGACTAAAATTTCTTTTCCATTTATTGAAGAATAAAGACTTTCCTTTGTATTAAACTTGGAAGCACCACCATCCCCAACATCTTTAAGCTTAACATAACAATTATCACATACACGATGAGGTTTTTCTGGAGTTGGACTCAATGCTGCTTTCAATGCCTTTTTAGAACTACAAGTATGACAGAAAACCAATCCGCAATTATGACAACTGTGCCTTATCCTTGTTAAGCCAAATGCTTGTTGACAACTAAAACAAGTTGATTGGTCAGTTCCAGAGACCAATTTATGGACACAAATACAAGATGTGAAGTTTGAGCCACATGATATATTTTTTATATGCTTATCTTTCAAGGTCGTGACCAATGTAGGAGTATTCTTATCTTCTGTGTCTCCGTGTCCTAACCTGCCATTGGCACCCATTCCCCACGTATATAGTTCACTTCTTGAAGTTAAAACAACAACATGATGTGCTCCACATGATATTTGCTCAACATACTCACCAAGCAACTTATCTTGAATTAGTGTTGGTATTTTTCCAAGAGATGTTGGATTTCCTAATTGACCATTTTCAGTTCCTCCCATTGTAAAGACATGACCAGATGTAGTGAGAGCAATAGTCATGGTATGCCCACAAGCTACTTGTTGGAAATTATATTCCATAAGTGGAGACACACGAGTAGGTTGAAGGTATGTTTCCTTATTTCCATGACCTAAACGATATTTGTCACCATCACCCCATGTGAAGAGCTTCCATGGTGAAGCAGTTGAACCAGATTGAAATGTAACTTCTATAATAGCAGCAGTGTGCCAAACTCCACATGCAACCTTTATAGTTTTTAGGCCACTTAATAATTGTACCTCCTTTGGATATAACACGCTCTCTCTATCTCCATGGCCCAAGACACCAAAAGCTCCATCACCAAAAGTGAAAAGTTTTCCATTTGATGTTGCCAATGCTGAATGCCATGTGCCACATGCAACAGATACAACTTCAAGTCCTAAAAGGCCATTAACCTTTTTTGGTATCCAATGGCTGCACTCATTACCATGCCCAAGAAGTCCAACATTATATGTGCCATCACCCCATGTGAGAAGTTCATAAGATTGAGATACAACACAAGTATGATACTCTCCACATGCAACAAACTCCAACTTTGTATCTTCCTCAAACTTAACAAGGTGAGGATGGCGAAAATCTTTATCAATTCCATGGCCAAGTCTTCCCCCTGATTCTTCTCCCCAGGTAAAAACATCTCCTTGCCTTGTAATCATAGCAATGTGGCATCCACCAGATGCAATTTGGCAAACATCAAGAACAACTTTTGAGTCCAAAAGCTTAGGAATCAACACATCTGACTTAAAAGGGACTTGAGTTCCACTCCAATTAGATGATACCCCATCTGTCAAAACTTCTCCCCATATGTAAACATCACCTCGTGATTCGTTGTCATCTGGGTCAGATCCTCTACTTAAATTGCTAGGTGTACTTGATGCACTTACACGGAAAGCATCTCCAGCACTTGTCCTTGGTTGCATATTTACACGTTCTAACTTCACATTTAAGCTTGGCCAATACAATGACAAGTCTCTAGAATTTAAATATGTCAAGTCCTTACCAAGAGTTGTTTCTAAAGTTAACTCTAATGTTGTATGTAAAGGATGAACATTTTGAAGAAACATATATATAGGCTTGCAAACAAGTATTTGTGAGCCATGATCCCTGCATTCACAAAAAATCAACAACCTTTTAGAAAGCTTATTGTATTCGTAAGATAATTTCACACAAATACATAATCTTAAAGAATTGAGTAAATTTAATTGATAGTTAAATATTCAATTATTTAATCAATAAAATAATTTTCAAACCACATACACAATTTTTTTTTCATGTTTAAAAAATTCAATCAACAATAATAGTTTGTTATATATTATTTTTGAAAGCTTTATATTTGCAAGCAAAAAGGAAAGAGAAAATTTAGAACAAATGGAGAAGTTAAAATTGTGGCATAAGTTTAAAATAGTTTAAAAATACCTTCTTATTTGTAGCAACTTAATCTTTCAATACAGACAAATTAAACATTGAGTAAATTTTAAAGGAAAACCATGATATTATGTAAATTATGAGCGATTGAAGTTAAATCATACCTCTAGATAACTGCTTGAATTTCACTCACTCTTTAACATCGCTTTTTCATATTGTATTTAAAAGTAAAATTCCTTGACAAAACTAATAACGTAGTTATATTCTTTATTAGTGGAGTAAAAAATACATAGGGTATAGTGTATAAAGAGTGTGATTACCGCTATATATAGATGAAATAAAATCTAGATCAATTTCATTTATTTTAATCAAATAAACATATATATGAATTGCGAGAACAAGTTTATTTCTTACCAAATCAAGCAACCATGCCTTGTAATTATAAACAAATGACAATGATAGATAAACCTTTTCTGCTGGTAGCAAATATCTTCTAAAGACAACCTGTAAAGTTGTTACAAGTACAAAATATCTTAATGAGCGTAATTTGTTTCATACTTTTAATGACCATCATTGTGATCATAAATATCAGTTGATATCCAAATATCACAAATTACAGTTGTAGCTTAACTGTTATTTTCTTAAGGATGATCTAAATGAGCACAATTTAGTTTTTTAGTTAAATGTCACTAGTAAGGGTCCAAATTAATTGAGTTACTTTCTTTAAATCAATGAGTGTCAAAGAACAAAATTTTGGCTATCATTTCTCATTATTCTTGATTGAGCGCTTAACTTTAAATCCATGAATGCCTTAAAAAATAGTTGAAATATAAACTAAATTTTACTTACTGAATCACCAATGTAAACCCAAATGGTGACTTATATGTAAAAAAGCTCTAAGACATATATAATCTCTCTTGTGAAATGACAAAACCCAAATTCTACATAACTAGCTAATTAGGATAGAACATATGACAACAATAATTGAAATTTGTGTTCAATTAACTTTCTAATAAAATCTAGTACATAAGAATTTCTCCACAAAATAGGCATAACTAAGTATGAATATGTGTGACAGTTTTGGCAAAACTAACTTTTTCAATATCATGCTCAGGTTTCCCATATCTGCCATTCCATCTTAGAGAAATTTGTTTAAAAATTACCAAAGACAAAACTCAGGAAACAGCAATAACATCACATGGATTTCGTACCTCTGTATGCATAGATCCTTAATCAATTTACTTCGGCCTTTCACCAAAAAAATAGCTAAAATATTTTGGTGAAAAAGGGTGAAAAATGGAACAAGGTACGAGGCTTCGCAACACATAGAAGAACTATATATCAGGTGTAGCTATTTGATAAGAATTGAATCATGTATTTATCATCCAATTCTGGAAAGGATAGTGAAATTATAACGTTGAATATCTGGATTTTTTAATAAAGTTGTGATGGCTAAAGAAACCCTGAGAAAAATTTGCAGAAGAATGAGAGAGAGAAAAGATGATGCGAAATAAAAGGAAAGCATATGGACAGATTTCAGGTAACAATTTGTATCAATAGAACATAAACATAAAAATTAGATATTTTTGCACGGTCTATGTGTATGAATTGACTAATATTTAAATTTATCAATTTTAAATATTACATATACTCACAAATATGAATACACACAATAAGTAATATTTATAACTATTAATGTGAAAAATTTGGAAAAAATAACTTTATATGATTTGTTAATTGTTAATATATATATATATATATAGTACACCTTTTATTTTTTTTAGAAGAAATATATTTTATAATTTTAATTTTAATATTTTTAACATACATAAAACATTTAAAGGTATAACTTGGTTTATATATATTCCAAATTTTTAGGTAATATAATATTAATAAATGCTTTACATATTTATGTGCTAAATATTGTGATGTGTGAACCGAATTATTTTATTCAGTTTTCTTAGCATTAACACATTAGTAGTAGTTTCTTCATCAATATATTCAACGACCTAATTATATTTTATAACTTATAAAATCTCTAAAATCCTGAAAAGTAAAACACAAATATGAGTATAACACTTTTTTTTTTTTTATGTATTAACATAATAGCATTAGTTGTATTTATGTTTGGAAAGCATATGTTAAAAAAATTATGATACTAGATTGAAGGTGAAATCGAAAATGAATGGTTATTAGAGAAATAAAAGAACTAAATAAAAATGTGTCTATAGATTTAAAGAAGATAAAGAGAAGTCAACGAAGAGACAATGTAAAGATAAAGATAGGGTGACAATTAATATCATTAAGTAAAATCAGATGAAAAGTTTGGAGAGCAGAAATTTTATTTTTAAAAAAGTATATTTATAATAAATATATAATTTTTTCAAAGAAGACTTATTAAATATTTCTTCCAATCCTATTTATAAAAAATAAAAATTGAATTTTTTAAGATTAATAAAAAATAGCTATATGTCATCATTTATATTTTATTTTAAAAATATCTATAATATCAAATGATCAAATTAATGTATTATATATTAAATATATAAATATATCAAATTTTATAAGTCAAAAGTGAACGCACCGTTAAGACAAATCCTATAACAAACAAAGCTATGAAAAGAATATGACATTTAATGCATTAAAAAAAAGTCTTTATTTCTTATATTTAAAATAACTTTTTTTTATAATTATTTCTTATAAATAGGACCAGGTATTAACTTATTTGTAATTTGTCCAACCCAAACTTATTTTATATTAACATAAATATTATAATATAATAAAATTATTTAAATTAATAATTTTTTAAAAATTATTTTAACTTAATTCTGTAACTACATATAGTATATATAAAAATGATAAAATTTTAGTAAAATTATAATAATTTTTAAATGATTAGAAATATAAAGTATTATAAATTTTATATAAACAAAAATATTTATAGAATTTGAAAGTTTAAGTCAATAAAGGAAATTTTATATATGTAAACAAAAAAATGATGAAGAATTTAAAAATTTATATAAGATAATAAGAAAAAATTAAGTGATAATTTTTACCACCAAAATTTGGAATAAAATTAATAAAAAAGTAAGAAAAAGTAGAATTTACAATGAGAAGGAGTGTAATTCATACATTATTCTGAGATAATTTTAATTTAAAAAACTATATGTAATAAATTAGGAAGCAAAATAATTTTACTATATACTTCACTTTTTAATAAAATATTCTCATTTACAATTTATGAGATAATATAAAATTAAATTAACTTCTCTTATGCAAATATAAACTTACATGTGACAAATATTTTTCACCAATGAAAAATATAAAATCATAATACAAATAAAGTAAAAAAAATTAAAAATAAAGATCATAATAACAATTAATGTCATTTAGTGTGATTAGATAAAAAGTTTAAAAAGATGTAATTTTGTTTCAAAACTAGTAAATTTAATTAATTTCTTCTCATTAAATATAATAATAATAATAATATTAATAATAATAATAATAATAGTAATAGGAGTAACTTATATTATCGTACAGTAACTACTATAATATTTAAATTTTTTCTTAGTAATTGCTTTTTTTTTTAATAAGTTTTCAAGTAGAGTTATAAATAGGTTCATTTAAGCTTTAATTGTAATTAATTAATTAAAAACCTTAAAAATGTTAGAACCATGATTAATTAGGTTAAACAAGAAAAGTATAAGAAATAAAAGATGACTAAATAACAAGCTTAAAATGCAAAGACAAAAATAAATTACATGAAATATTAAAATCTAGCCTATTAGTGTGAAAATGATGGCCAAATTTGACTAAGTAATTGATATTCAATATCTAGAGAAGTGCACTAAGTATTCCATGTTCAAATACTTTAGTTAAATCAAAGGTAATGTTTTTAATAGGCTAAGAAAATTAAACACAAATGAACCAATAAGGATTTAGCTTGTGGGACACTTAAAACAAAGTAGTTAAGTTGAAATTTTGATCAATTCAAGAGCATGCAATCTCTAATTGAGTTAGATGGAAATTTAGTAAAGGAATCAATTAACACTTTAGTCAATTGAAACCTAATAAATATTTATTTTAATATATTTTTATAGTCTATATATTATGAGTAACCTTTATTTTATCAGATTTTTACACTAATTTTGATTATTATTATGTTGTTTAATTCAAGAAGGCCACAACTAAGTTTTGGAGTGCATTTTAGGTTCAAATTAGATAGAAAATTAGGCTTTGTAGCAGCCAACACGCCTATACCCTTATAGCCAGCATGGAGGTGCTTTGAAAATATGCATGGTTGTGTTTATGGTCATGCACGACCGTGCTTACCTGAGAGAATTCTAATTATGAAGAAATTTTAGGATTTTTAAACCATTTAAAGTGACCTCAAGAGCAACGATTTGCATCTCCAATCTTTGTGTTGGCTAGTCGCTTATGACTGCAAGAGCTTTGAGAGCACGTCTTGGGATCAAGAACTCTCTTAATCTCTTTTGTCATTGGAGACTCCTCTAGTTTGCATTTACTTTTCAAATAACTATAGATTTGTTTAATATTATTTTGGTTTTGTTTTATATTATGTCTAGTTAAATTCATAATAAGGATTATGGTGGATTATTTGCATGATTCTATGAGATTTTTATAATTTATGATAGTTTCGTGTTTTTGTTCTTGATTAATGTTTATCCTATTGTGCTATATTTGTATGTCAGAATTCATAACTCTTGAACATACCATAATTAGGCATGGAAATAGGCTAAGCCAGGCTAGCTAACATGCAAGAAACAGGCCGTAAATAGGCCTATTAAGAGATAAACTGTAGGGAGTAGGTTCGAATCCCAATTTTTGAATACTGATATTATATTATTATTATTATTATTATTATTATTATTATTGTTAGGCTGGCATGTCAGACTTAATAGGCTTTGCAAACAACTCAGGTTTGGCCTATTTACTTAAATAGTCCTTAAAAATAGTCTAAGCGTTGTTTGTTTATTAAGGAGGTCAGGCCTAAAGCAGGCTAGGCTACAAGCCCTTGTTAGGCCGCCTGGGTTGTTTCCATTCCTAAGCATAATTAATTATATTATAAGCGATCGTTGTCACGACTATTATACTACCTTGCACACAATTGAGGTGGGTGATGCATTACGTTGAAGGATAAACTACATGTAGTGAATTAGAGAGTTAAAGTGCATAACGTTTCTTTAGATTACATGATTGTATTTACAATTTAAGAATATCATGAAATATGCAAGACCGGATCAACTTGCCTATTTTAATCAATGAATCATACTCTACTCCTTGAGAATCTTTGTCGAAAGGTCACAACACATCTTAATCACATTTAAGAGAATTGCCTGTTTACATGGTAACTGCACATACATGTCAAGATCATCTATGCTAGTCTGGTCAAGTTAGAGTCAATGAGCAAAAATCACAATTGCACCTTAACAAACCAACATGTTCAAATGTCCAAAAGAAATAAGGGGTCACAACCACAACCATTCACACTTGCTTGTGGGCATTAGCATTTCCCACTTGATGTCAGGGAGAAAGTGACAGCTCATTGTCACTATCAATCCATCCAATCATAGACAGTGTTGAGCGAGGTGTAGGCTAAGGTGGTAGCAGTGATGAATGTCAAACAGATGGTCTTACATCGTTAGAGGGCGAAGGGGGATTCTTATAGAAGGGCAGATTACTGGTCGGAAGGAGGACTCAACAACCTCTATGTCTTTTCACTTAGGTTCGGGAGTAGGATGTGAGTTGGTGACTATAGGGGCTTTACTTGGGTTTCTCTGTGGATTAGGGGTAAGTGTTTGGTTTGGACATCTTAAGAGGGGAGTAGATGAGGAGGATGGAATATGTCATTCCAATTTTGGTAAAGGAATGGAAATTTTGGCCAAAATATTGTCGTTTCAAAAAGGCTTCCAATCCTCTTCACTCACGGACCCCACAGCCATGGAAATTAAACCCCTGTAGATTTGCCAATGAATCTCTAGTTGGTAGATTCATACATCCTCCTTGATAGAAAAGACTCAAATCCTCGCCTGGTCAATGCATATCTGCAATATATATATATATAGACACATACACACAAAACAAAGCGAAAAACAATACTAGGAAATAAACTAGAAAATGAGTTCAAGGTATTAGAAAATAATTCACACAATAACCACAATAAGTACATAAGAAAAATTTAAGGGATATTCTCATTCTATAA